ACTGCGGGACAGGAACAACTGCAGCCTGTGTGTCAGATGATTTTACATAACAAGTAGTGTACTGCATTACTTTTAAGAAAAGTGTTGTGTAATATGTGCAATAATGACTTTGAGTAATGGGCCCAAAACTGATCACAACAAAGAGGGGAAGCACCTCCAACATGCACAAACATTTGAAACACAGCATGTGGAAGTTCCCATCCCTATGTGCACGATTTGACAATCTCCATGGAAAATGTTAAAGTGGACGCGATGACGCCCTCACACATCGTAAAAATGCTACAAATATGCTCTAGTGCCAGTGTTCAAACCACACAAACAAAGACGTTCACAAAGTTACAGGTGCATTTACAAAGAGATGCTTACCTCTTCCACCATTGCTCCCTGTCAGCCCCTCTTTGCCATAGCGATCATATAAACTCCTCTTGTTTGCTAAAACAGGGAAGTGACAAGTTTCAAAAGCTGAAAACAAACTGTGGGAAAACAGTAATAAATGCAATAAAATACAGAAATACCAGGATCACCGAAGAGACAGAACTGTGTGTTTTCACTGAGTCGACTCAATGAAAACACACCGTCGCACACAGGTGTGATACAAACCATCAGACAGGACTTCATAAGCCTCTGACAACTCCTTGAACTTCTTCTCAGCCTCCTCTTTGTTCTCCGGGTTTTTATCTGGGTGCCACCTCAGGGCCAGCTTTCTGTACCTGCACAGCAGAAGTAAAAGGTGCTGTTGCAGTGAAAACAATGAAAAAGTACAGATGTAAGAGAGCAAAACATGAGCACTTCTGATCTGAATTTTCTGACCAGGTTTCAAAGTGAAATGTGACGCTATGTGTCGGCTAAAGCCTCGAAGCACGCTGCAAAGAGCTATGTTCATGTCAGAGGGGAAACTATTACTCTTCTCACTCCCAATTCAGATAAAGGATCATTCAGCTCCCAGGTGGTGCAGATGTGACGCAGCTCTGCAGCATTTACCTGTTAGCTTGAACTCCTTCAGCAGTTTATTAATAAAGAACCAGACAGCCTGAGAAAACTGCAGGCGATGGCATCTCTGCGCAGGTTCTCAGCTAGGACCACATTTAAAACTTCAACTCACGCTTTCTTTATGTCATCTGCAGACGCATCCTTCCGTACTCCTAAAACCTGGTAGTACTCCACCATGATGAGTGGATGACTGGAGACACTTCAGAAAGCCTGGTGAACCTGAAACAGTGAAGACGGCCACTTATTAGCTTGATCATTAAGTATCAAAATCACTGCGTCTGCAGAAATATTGAATTCACGCCTCTCTGGAAGACTTTGGATTCCAGGAAGTTTTTTTGTGGGATCGCAGTCAAACAACCAATTTGTTAAGAAATGTTCCAGACTGAGCCGAGTGCCTCAGATGTGTTTGCGTGGCAGCTGTAATAAGATTAGATCAGATTCTCTTAACAGCAGATAAGAAACTACACTGGCTCCTTCATTACCTCATTCAACACTTCCAAAGTGAAGCGTGTGTTGCATTCGTTTCTAGAGAAACCGAATGCTTTAATAAAAGTAAAGATGAATCATGTTTCAAAAGTATAAACAGTTGAAGGGAATTCTGTGAAACTCCACACAGGAATGGTGGCGTTGGTTCCCAGGATGTTCTTGCTGTGAGGCAACAGTGCACCACCATGCTGCCTCATGATTTATTTACTTCCAGGGTGGATTACTGTAATTCGTTATTATCTGAAAAGTCTTCAGCTGATCCAAAAAGCTGTACTCAGAGTACTGACCGGGACTAGAAAGGGAGAGCATCCTTCTCATACTGGCTTCCTGTTAAATTCAGTGCTGAATTTAAAACCCTGATCCTCACATACAAGGTCTTGAAAACCTCACAGCACCGTATGAGCCTGATAGAGCAGTTTGCTCTCAGGCTGCAGGCTCACTGATGGTTTCCAGGATGGAAACTACGTCTTTTGTGTGACTGTTGGGTCTTTACCCACAATACGAAGCTGTTGTTGTGTTTTGATGTTTTAGAAATAAAACAGAATTGAACTGAAATTGAAAACTTTTTTAAAATCAACATTTATGCATTTCTCTGGCACAGGGGCGTTTCCAGGGGTAATGGGCGGGACTGTGTGATATGGTGTTTTTATGCTCACTGTACACAGAGCGTGACGTGACATCACCTGGTGCGTGCTATCTGTGGTGCTTCGACCTCTTGACTTTTGTAACCTGGCACGTTGCGCCGTGGCCACAGCAGCCGGGTTGAAGATACGATCGTGTTGGTTTTTATTGACATTTTAATGACATTCCAGCTCAGGAGTTAAAGGGGAACAGTTTAAAAAGTTTGCAAAAACTTGGCAAAGTCCTTGCTTCCAGTTTCGACTTCTTCTCTTCCAATATCAGCACTCATGTGGTGATATTATCTGAGGCGTCCTGCGCCTTCACCACGGGCAGCGATAGTGCAGTGAGCAGTACAGAGGCTATGCTGACGCCCTGCTCTGATACAAAAGGATTAAAATAAAAATGACATTATCAACAAGAACCTTTGTAGTAACGTTTTTTAAGGTCCCACCTGGTGAGAATTTGTTAAAATAACAGTTTAAAACTGGCCCAGTAGGTGGAACTCTCCCCTCTGGTTCAGCGTATGCAGGTTATGAAGTCTTCTGATCATTTTGAATTATAATTCTGTGGATCAGTCATAATGTTGTACTTTATAGTTAGTTTTCATTTGGACTTTTTCTTTTTAATCCAGTTTAATTTCGAGAGTGGGCTTGCTCGCTTCAGCTTTATTGGTTGTAAATGTTTCGTTTTAGTTACTTTAGTTTAATACTAGTTTCAACCTTAGTATTAGTCTTTTTATATGAGCGTTATTAAAGTATGGAGGGCATATGTGATTCAGAAAAATCAGTGCAGGTATTACAACAGAAACAGAACTTTTTGAAAGCAGCGCCACTCTTCAAATTAAAAACAACTGTGAAAGATTTTGATTGTTCCAGCTCCACCTTTCAGTATTTTGAACATAAAGGTGTAGCTCAGCCCTGTGAGCCGCTCCTGTGCAGACGTGTGGCCTGAACATGAACACCAACAGCTTGTGTCTCGCACTTTTATCTGCCAGTTACATATTTAGTCTGAAAACAGGCAGACTGAGAAGATTTAAACGTAAAATGGAAGAATGCCTTTCAGTTACCATCTGAACCGGACGGAAACTCTCCGGGCTTCACTTCTCTGAACCCAGAGTAGCTGCTGCTACCCGGCTAACAAGGGCTGAAAGAGCCGCTAATGGTAACAGCGAGAAGACTAAACATAAGTATATTCAACAGAAAGCAATCTCACTGAAATACTACTCGTACCAGTAGCTGCTTGGCGAACCTAAAGTAAGCTAGCTCTGGCCGGCAGTAAACAAAAGTCGCCATATCGTGAACGCTATCAGGCTTACCCAGCGGAGGATCAGCAGTCTGCGCTCTCAGTCGGTTTGTCGAGCAGACACACGGTCTGATAATCGG